CCATAAACTGTTCCTTCTTCCCATGTTCCGTGATTTCTAGCCTAATATAAACACCTGGTGTTTTTGCAGGGGTTAATAAAATCCAAGATTTCTTCAAAATTACCCAAGTGCAAGTTAGCTTCTAGAAGATATCGAGATGTTCCTGTTGGTTACAGACCTGTTCGTGTGGACTGGAAGGACCTCGATAAATGTAGTGTTTGCCACATGGATGAGGTGGATGTGAATGTTTTTTCCCATCATATTGTATCATTGACTGTTTAAAAGATAGACTATATGTATTTTTCTTTTTTCTTTTTCCCCAAATTTCTGTGTTTTCTTTTTTGGGTGGGAGTTCGTTTAAACTTAGTTCCCTATTGGTTTTGCTAATTGGTGTTTTGTTTATAGGAGTACGAAAACAACCTGTTCCTGCAGTGTGACAAATGCAGAATGATGGTAAGTGTTTTTCTGACGCTGGGCATCACATTACTGGGGTCTTGGTTAAACTATCAAATTCAAGTTTGATTTTGTCATATATGCTTTAGTCAACCAAGTTTCTTTTTCTAGGCTGTTTGAAACAGTTCTTTCTCTACTTTGTTACGTGTTTACCTTTCCTGGTTGGTTATTGGTTTCACCAGAAGAAATAATGTTTTCCTAGGTCCATGCAAGATGCTATGGAGAACTGGAACCTGTTGGTGGCGTATTATGGTTATGCAACTTATGTCGGCCTGGGGCTCCTGAACCTGCACCGCCTTGCTGCCTTTGTCCTGTAATAGGTAGTTAGAAATCATTAAGAGTCTACCTTTTTAATGCCATGGATTTCATGTTATTAATTTATTGAACTGATTTTCCTCTAGGGGGGGCAATGAAGCCTACAACTGATGGGCGCTGGGCTCATCTGGCTTGTGCCATATGGATACCAGGTTCATGAAAACACGGTTTTCATTTCTGATCATTCAATTATTTATTTATTTTTTCTAATGCTCTGAAAATATTCTAGAAACCTGCCTATCTGATGTTAAGAGAATGGAGCCAATTGATGGGCTTAGTAGAATCAACAAGGTATTTCCTTTTTCACTTTTTATGTTTCCGCACTATTATGGCCTCCTTCCTTTGTTCCCCTTCAGCCTCGTTTTTCCTTGACATATGTCACCTTTTATATCTTTATCTTGAGAGGATTTGTCTGTGGCAGCGGTCTCATATATTTTTTATCCTTTGGAATCAAAATCGCCAA